CTCAGGCAATCCACTCGCCTCAGCCTCCCAAAGTGCAGGATTACAGGCTGAGCCACCAAGCCCAGCTGTCTATCGGTTTTCGAAAGACAAATCCAACTCGAATCAGCTTCATCAAAAGAGGAAAAAGCCGGGCGCGGTAGCTCACACCTGTAATCCCAGCACTTTGGGAGGCAGAGGCTAGAGAATTCCCTGAGCCCCGGAGTTCGAGACCAGACTGAGCAACATGGTGAGACGTTGCCTCTACAATGAATCAAAAAGTTAGCCGGGTGTAGTGGTGCTTGCCTGTAGTTCCAGCTACTTTGAAGGCTGAGGCTGAAGGATAGCCTGAGCCCAGCAGGTCGAGGCTGCAGTGGCTGGGAGCGTGCCGCTGCACTCCAGCCTGGGTGACAGAGACTCCAACTCAAAAAGAAAGCAAAAAATAAAACCCTCACGCCCTACTGAAAAGAGAAAAAATCCCGACTGAAATGCCTGGAAAAGCTTCCACTGTGTGAGACTGTCTCTACTTTCCCTTAACAGAACATTCCAGAACCTTTAACCTGGAAAGTGGCCCAGGCTCTGTCAATCCAATGCTTGTTAACCGCCATTCTGGGAAACTAGTCACTGGGCTGGGTGTTTGTTTAGGTCTGCCCTGTTTGTCTTCCTGTGGTGCTCCATATGGTGCTAGAGCTGTCAGTCACATCACCCTAGCTACAGACACCTGTGACCTAGGTTGGGCTGGTTATGGTGTCCCAGCCCTCGGCTACATGCTGACCCTGGATGGAGCACAACTCACGCCAAACCGTCCAGAAGGCTTCTCTGAAACAGAGTACACACCATATATTTTTTAATAGGCAAAAAAATCCCACAAAAAACCAGAAACTCTTTCTTCTGCGGATATTAGAGTGGGACAGGGCCTGGAAACGTTAGTGCCTGTCCTTCCCTGGGGCATAGAAGAACCACGTCTGCAACAGCAGATAACGAGGCCACCGAACATTGAAATAAGAGCCCACTGATATTTGAGTTCCTCCAGTGCCTGATGTCAGTTTTGCTCCTAGACGCTCAGTTACAAGGGCAGGAAGTCGAGAGGGAAAGGCTTCTGCAGGGATGTTGCAAAAATAACTTATTCCATCTTATTTTTAGCTGACAAATAAATATTACACATATTATCACATACACATTGTTTTGGAATATATATATATTGTAGAATAACTACGGCGAGCTCATTAACACATGCATGACCTCACGGAGTGAGAACACTTTTTGTAGTGAGAACACTTAAAATCCCTCCTAGCAATTTTCAAGGATACATTGTAACTAAACATAGTCATCATGTCGCCCCCAGAGCTAGTAAGCTTATTCCTTCAAACGAAATTGTATGTCCTTTGATCAACCCCTCCACCCCAGCCCCTGGTAAACACATTCTATGAATTTCTATGAGTTCAGCTTTTGCAGGTTCCATATATAAGTGAGATCGTGCAACCTGTATCTTTTTGTGCCTGGCCTATTTCACTTACATAACGTCCTCCAGGAAAATAACCTTTATCTTGTAAGCCTGCCCACATGATTTAGTTGCTTTTTTTTTTTTTTTTTGAGTTGGAGTCTCACTCTGTCGCCCAGACTGGAGTGCAGTGGCCACTCCCGACCACCACAGCCTCAACCTGCTGGGCTCCGGCGATCCTTCCGCCTCAGCCTTCCGAGTAGCCGGAATTACAGGCATGCGCTACCACGCCCGGCTGATTTCTTGATTTATTGTAGAGATGAGGTCTCGCTGCCCAGGTGGGTCTCGAACCCGTGGGCTCAGGCAATCCACTCACCTCAGCCTTCTGGGCTTACAGGCTGAGCCACCAAGCCCGGTGCTTTTTTTTTTTTTTTTTTTATAATTTATTATTCTTTGTCCATTTCAGTATAGAAGTAACTGACATCAACCGCTTCCTTGGGTCTTCAATGCTTTATGAGGGCTCCTGTAAAACTTGTATTAAAGAAATTTGTGCCAGGCGCGGTGGCTCACGCCTGTAATCCCAGCACTTTGGGAGGCTGAGGCGAGAGGATTGCCTGAGCTCATGAGTTCAAGACCAGCCTTGAGCGATATGGTGAGACCTCATCTCTACAATAAATAAAAAAATTAGCTGGGCATGGTGGCGCATGCCTGTGATTCCAGTTGGAAGGCTGAGGTGGAAGGCTCACCTGAGCCCAGCGGGTTGAGGCTGTAGCCAGGGTGATGTGATTGGCAGGTCTAGCACCATATGGAGTCAACACAGGAAGACAAACTGGACAGACCTAAACAAACACTCAGCCCAGTGACTAGTTTTCCAGAATGGCAGTTAGCAGCATTGGATTGACCAGAGCCTGGGCCACTTTCCAGGTTAAAGTTTCCGAAATGTTCTTTTAAGGGAAAGTAGAGACGGTTGGTCTCACACAGTGCAAGCTTTTCAAGGCATTTCAGTAGGGACTTTTTCTCTTTTCAGTAGGACTTGAGAGTTTTGTTTTTTTTCTTTTTGAGTTGGAGTCTGTCGCCCAGGCTGGAGTGCAGTGGCACGCTCCTGGCCACTGCAGCCTCGACCTGCTGGGCTCAGGCTATCCTTCCACCTCAGTCTTCAAAGTAGCTGGAACTGCAAGCATGCGCCACCACACTTGGCTGATTCTTTAAATATATTTGTTTTAGAGACGAGGTCTTGCCAGGTTGGCCAGGCTGGTCTTGAACCTGCAGGCTCAGGCAATCTTCTCTCCTTGTCCTCCCAAAGTGCTGGGATTATAGGTGTGAGCCACCGCACCTGGCTAAGAATTACATTTTTAAAATTTTTTAAAGCAGGATTTATTGAGAGGACAGAAAAGCTCCCACAGTGGGAGGGGAACTGAGGGGTTGCCCACATTTTTTTTTTTTTTTTGAGTAGGAATCTCACTGTCACCCAGGCTGGAGTGCAGTGGTATGGTCACAGCCACCACAGCCCTGACCTGCTGGACTCAGGTGATCCTTCTGCCTCAGTTTTCCAAGTAGCTGGAACTACAGGCATGTGCCACCACACCTGGCTAATTTTTTATATTTTTTGTAGAGATGAAGTCTCACCAAGTTGCCCAGGCTGATCTCCAACCCCTGGGTTCGGGCAGTCGTCTCTCCTCAGCCTCCCAAAGGGCTGAGGTTACAGGCGTGAGCCACCGCATCTGGCTAGGGATTTCAAAAACGGGGGATTCAGAAGGAAGTGACACTTCACCCTCCTTTCCGTTCACAGAAGCTTGATTTTTGTGATCAGAGCAGACTCAGAATTGGCACACTCACCAAGCCTTAGCACAGTTGCCCAGCACATTTGAAAACCCTGCTCACGGTTGGCTGACGGAGCGCTTTTACCCTGAGGCGTGCTCCCCTGTGAAAGTTGCAATTAAGCATCAGAAACTCTCATACTGTGCAATCTGGATTCTGCTCCTTGTGTGTGAAAAGACATGACAAAAGGCTAGTGCAGTTTGGCTACTGGCTCTCCCCGCACCCTCTCCCTCTTTCCTTCTCCTGCCCTGGCCGTCTCCTGTGTCACCCCACCTGCTCAGATTCCCTGTGGGGTCTCACAGGCCTGCGCAGCAAATTAGCCTGTGCGGTTTTTTTTGCATCTGCTATCACTCCTTCCTCAGAGAGTCAGCAAAGCAACGAATTCTGAAGATTCATCCTTGGAAGGCAGAGAACGGGGAAATAGCAAATACTTAAAAATTAATATTTTCCAGGTCGGGTGTGGAGGCTCCCATCTGTAATCGTAGCACTTTGGGAGGCCAAAGCGAGAGGATTGCTTGAACCCAGGAGTTCGAGACCAGCCTGGTTTGACCTCGTCTCTACAAAAAATTTTTTAAAAATTAGCTGGGCATGGTGGTACATGCCTGTAGTCCCAGCTACTCGGGAGGTTGAGGCAGAAGGCTCGCCTGGGCCCAGGAGGTTGAGGCCGTGGTGAGCTGGGACCATGCCACTGTACTCCAGCTTGGGAGACAGAGTGAGAATCTCCAAAAATATATATATTTTCCATCATCACAAGAAGAATGGGGCTCCATAGCTGTGCTGTGCAGAAAAGCCTGGAAGCTTTGGCGTTAGACACTAGTTGGGTTCTGGCCTGGAAGCCCACCTGTAACGTTTGGAGATACCGAAAGAGGCACAGGACAAAGGGTTGGTATAAACCAAGTGTTTATTGGGGGAGAAACTCCTGGGTGAGGTCCTGTGGTCCGGGAAGATGGGCCAGGGGAGTCGCGCCCAAGGAGGGGCAGGCTCCAGTTTTTTTTTCTGTTTGTTTGTTTTTTTTGAGTTGGAGTCTCACTCTGTCGCTCAGACTGGAGTGCAGTGGCCACTTCTGGCCACTGCAGCCTCGACTTGCTGGGCTTCGGCGATCCTTCCACCTCAGCCTTCCAAGTCGCCGGAATTACAGGCATGCGCTACCACGCCCGGCTGATTTTTTTGATTTATTGTAGAGATGAGGTCTTGCTGCCCAGGCGGGTCTTGAACGCGCGGGCTCAGGCAATCCACTCACCTCAGCCTCCCAAAGGCGCGGGATTGTAGGCTGAGCCACTGAGCCCACCAGGCTTGGGTTTTTAAGGGTGCTGTATTTGGGGAGGGTGTGGGGGGCAACAGTGAAGTGGGGAGACAAAGTGTCGCATCCGGCATGGGCTGGAAATTTTCTGTCTGACCCTTCTCGGCAGCTCCCGGCAGGTTCCAGGAAGCTGGTATGTGGTTGTGGGTTGGGGTGGAGGGGCGCATAGGGGATCGGTGGGTGGAGGGGCAGATGGGGGAAGGTGAGTGCTGCTTCCTCCTGAGCC